GAGTACATCCCACTGTCCTGATGCTCTTTTCTTGTCCTTTCAGATGTGTTGGTCATTGCCAAATACCGAAGCAAATGACTGAGGTCTATCTAGTTACGACCTTACATTTGCCAGCGTCGTGTTCTTCTCGTCCAGACGCGTCGCATTAGCTATAATTTGACCTTGAAAGGTCATTTTAAAATTTGACCTTAGGTCAAGGTCATGACCTGACCGGAAAAGGTCATGTTGCATATCAGTCGATCCGTATCGTCAAGCTAAACACATCTGAGGTGCTTTCACCGGTCTAGCATATCTCTATCAAAAGCTTTTGTTAAATAAAAATAATGTTTCGTGAAAAAGGACATTTCGTCACCCAAAGGGGCACAAAGAGGGGTCACGGGTGCCATTTCCCGATTCAGTGTGTCATGTTGACTTTTAAGTCGATGTTTCAGAGTGTTTAAAACGACGTTCGTCGCTACGAAAGATCCCCTTGCACTACAGGCGACGTTTTTGCGCAGTGCATAGGCTCACTTATGACGTCATAGGTCAGTAACATGACCTGATCTGAAACATGGTTGGTGTCACAATGTCCGACTTGAAGCATGCGCTAAGCCTGCCGATTTTCAGCACCCTATCAAGTCGCGAAAAAAAACACCTAGGAGTGGCACCCCTCAGTCGGGAGAGATAAGCAACAAAGAACACCAAAATATTCCGACTCACGTTGTATTACCAAAAACAAATACACTGTTGGACAATAAATAACGAACACGACACTTAAATACATCAGCTTAGCACCCTAGTTATACTTGGGGGCGGGCTTGTAGACCGGAGCGGGCTTGTAGGGGGCAGGGGCCGGCTTGTAGGGAGCGGGCTTGTAGGCCGGGGCCGGGTGGTACTCGGGGTACTGGGCCTCGCCCTCGTAGGTGACCTCGGCGTTGAATCCGTTGTAGTGGTCGGCGACATACTTGACGGTCTGGATGCGGCCGTCGGGCAGAGCCACCTTGTAGTAGCCGGTGGTCTGCTTGCCGTCACTGTTCTCGTTGGCGGCGAAGTCAGCGCCCGAGTAGCCGTCCTTCACGGCATAGTCGAAGGCGTACGGCTTGGGCTCCTCCTTGTACTGGGGCTCCGGGTGGTAAGGGGCCGGCTTGTAGGCCGGGGCCGGCTTGTACGGGGCAGGGGCCGCTTGTACGGAGCCGGGGCCGGCTTGTACACGGGGTGTCCGGGGCCGGCGCGGCGGCAGCCACGGCCAGGACGGCGGCAACGATGAAGACCTGAAAAGAAAACATTTAGTTTAATCACTTGGTGGTCTTCTGAAGAATTCCATACATAAATTCACGCAGATAAAAAAAGGTGCTGTCATTTATAAATTATCTCACCTATAACCATGAGAAAAACATTTTTGTAGCACAATCAATTTTTTCCTTCGATGTTCACGGTTGGTCTAAGCAGACTGGGAACAAACTTTTAATCCCATGTCTCAATTCCGAAGCACTCCCCAGGCTGAGATCCGTCTTCCGTGCCAAATCGCCGCGTTCGTTCTCACCTTCATGATGTGGTGATCCGGTTGTGAGCGTTCCTCAACTGATGTCGGTGTGGAGTGAGAGGCCGCTTATATAGCCGGGCACGCCCGTCACCCCTCCCGGCAGTCAACTGGACCGATCGAACATATCTCCAAGGTCGAGTGGCGACGACGTCTGTTGGACACTGGACAATGGACGTCGAAGTGACCAACGCAAGTTTCAGCATACATGAGCTATGAATACCCACCAAGTATATAGTGCTCGGTATAGTTTTTAGAGTTGGATGAAAGGTTCATTTTTTCCTTATAATTTGGTGATGTCTACATTTTTGCAGCTCTTTTTGGATTAGATACTTTAATCCATGTTCTATTTTACTGGCCTATTTTCTTTTCTACTCGACATCAAACATTCTATATGATGTTGTTTCTTTTTTATCTTGGTGATCTGAACTAATTAATCTTTAGCTTTATGACGATCACCATCCATTGACAAACTGTTGCGTAGGTACCTATTGAAAAATGCTGTTTTCATTTATGTTAATCTTTCATTTTGTACTTTATGAACGATTCGTTACCTGAAGACTGGGCCGTCAGTTGTTGCTTTACTTTCTTTCGGAAATATCTGGAATGCCGAATCGAAACCTACACGGAGGCAATACACTTTCCCCTGAGCCGGAGACAAGGTCGGTATACACGCAATACGCATAGTTTGCCCGGATAAGGAGCCATAGCCGGTACCTACTGTCTGCCCGGAGCCGGAGCCGTGAGGCCGAGGCCGTAAATGGGTGGTTCCACATCCCAAGGGAAATAATGCTTCTGGCTTTTATACATTCTGTCATTTTTTTCATATTCAGTGACTTGTTTGAACGCCAGCAGAACGCCATGGACCTTCAGCTCATATTACATCAAATTTCTATTAATATTTAGGGCCCGACACCTAGGTTGCCGGTGCCCCCTAAAGGACCATTCGTGGTTGAATCGGTCCTCCTCGCCATGAAACCCTTTCACCATCGCTCATGCATGTGCGTTTTGTAGTAAGGGCAATTAGTAACCATGCTGCACACGCTTAAATCGTTACTGTGCTGTGCACTGGCGCAGTCGGTTGAACGCACTTCTGGTTGAAGAAATAACCAATTTAGTCACAGTCACTTCCTTTATAGTGTCAAGGCTCACAGGTACGCAATGTGGAGCGTTCTGTCATTAAATGAAACTTAGTAGAACGTATTAGGTGTTACCACTCTCACTATTAATGAATAAAGGCATCACATAGGCTAAGCTATTTCCTCGTTGGCCCATCAAAGTTGCTATGCTGCAACGCTTCCCGTATGTTATGACGTTATTAATTGTATTAACTTTAAATTAAAAGTATTTTGATTATACTGAATGAGTATACTGTAGGTCGATCCGTGATGACATGGTCCTTCTTTGTGCAAGTTTTATTTTATTATATTTTCTTGGCTTGGGATTGGCTTCTTCCTATTCAACGTCAGGGTTGAGGCACGAGAAGGTATTGAACTGGGCCGACCACCTACCGGTGCGCCACAGTGCAGCGGCTGAGTCTTATCTCATTAACGCCGAGTGGCAACTATAGTTGCCATCTACAAAAACCTACTGCTGAAGGCAAGTTAATGACGTCAGAACAGCATTTGTGGGATGCCTAATCAGCATAGTCCCTTCTCATCATGATCAGACGGTTTTAGTCACGTCCTGTGCGCAACATGCTTCACAAATCAAGAAATAGTCAGACGTTGCAGAGACGGCCGCCATATTGGCTTGACGGTCCCGAAGAAAACGACGCTGTTTTTCCAGAGTGTCCGGTATTTCCGAGCATTTTCGGCTTATTTTGATCCAGAAAGGATGTAGGCAGGCTACCAGTGTCTCAAAACTTGAAAGCACTCTACTCATTTGTAGTTATTTGTACTAGATTTGTACTTGGCAACTATAGTTGCCACTCGGCGTTGGCGTAGTCAAAAATATGAGCGGTTCATAGTTAAATAGTTGTATTTACGGATATACTGTAACGAAACATATGTTATTCAACCAGACTGTCCCCGTGTATACCTTGGGACATAGTTACATGGACTTTTGCAAATAAATTAACAATTAAGGCAGAAATTAATTAAAAAATACATGCATGTCTATACATTACCATAGTGAACCCTACCCCCATCCATTGTTTTTTGGTCTATTCTCGACATTGTTAAATCTGTTTATGTTTATCATCTACTGAAGATATTTTTGTGGAATGGGATGCAATCTCGCTTTCTCTTTCCTCTCTCCTCTCTCTCTCTCTCTCTCTCTCTCTCTCTCTCTCTCTCTCTCTCTCTCTCTCTCTCTCTCTCTCTCTCTCGCTCTCTGGTTCCTCCACTGGCGGATGCAGGAAACATTACGGACATTCATAGCTCACAGAGTCCGACTTGCCCGATTTTGTTTCGTTTTCTTTGTAAAGAAAGAGAACTAAAACGGCATTTATACGATAAAGATTGCCTACGATTGCACAGTAATGCATTTATAACAAACCGAAATCCGAGAAGTTTAGGTACGAGAATTTTCAAACCCTGCTGCGTGTGATATCACCTATCACCTTTCTGGATAAACCAGAGTCGCTCTCGCTTTCTATGTCGAAGACTATGCTTTGCTGGTTTTTCCTAGCGTTCGTTAGTCGCGCCACTTGCAGTATGCATAACCAAACTCAGGCATGCTCATCTGCAGGCACCGTGCCATGATGCTAAATCGTGTGACCAGCTCGTGTTTCAATTTGGAGGGGCACGTAGGTATTAAGCCTATTTGCATCAACAAATTAAGTTTTTAGCATCGTAAAGACGCTGTATGACGTTTACAAACAGGGACCCATAAACGAAAGCTCCCCCACCTCCTCCGCTGAGCTCCCATTGACGCCGATTATGACCTTGACACAGTCGTGATACCGAATTGATTCCGATGAAGCTGCTTGCTATCTGAACTTTCACAGCAGATGCTGGTGATTCAGCTGAATGAGACGGTGGAGGCGGCTTTGTGCTTTGGGTTTCGTGCGAGGATAACAGCACACGAAACTTTAGGTTACGATCACGTAGCTGATGTTGTCTCATGGGACTGAATGAAAATTGTGAACCAAAGGCGAGACATCGCCTGACTTGGGGCAGTGCTGATTCCTGGCACTGCCAGCTGGAAACGAGGAAATGGGGATTCAGGTGGTAGAAAATATGTGGGCCTGCTCAGTTGTCCTAAACTAGATGAAATTGAACTATATTTTTATGACACGTGGAATGTGTTCAAGTGCAAGTAGTGGTGGTCGCCTTGTACTTACACCACTTTTACTCGTCAATCAACATATCCCCCTTCTTATTCTGAAGTACAACCGCCAGTGTGTGCTCGAGTCGTGATCACGAAAGGGATCCAATTTGTCCAGACTCTCGTCCGAACAGTCTAAAAAACATTCGAAGGCGAACGGATTTACTGGTTAGGTAAGGACAGCAGAAGTACGTACGTATGCGGGAATCAGAAATATACTATACAATTCCATGGCTCCGGTAGGCCTGTAATCAGCGTGCTCGCAAATAGGCATGAATAATCGAGTTGCTTTGTACCCCGAGTTTTTACAAATGTATCATACCCGGTAGAAAGTTTTGTGATAGGACGGTATACCTGCCATCAACCATGTACGCGTAAATAGGGATCTGGTGAGAACTACGTATGAGATAATATGCATTCTTTGTTGAATTGTTTTCGAGCAGATTTTATTTATGCATGTCAAGATAAATGGTTAAAAAGGACTGGTAAAGAGCATCTGCTTTGGTACAGAAAAACACTTATTGATGGATAAATGAACTGTGTTTCCTGGATACCAAGGACCAGGGCCTCGTCTAACATGTTAACTGGGGGGCAATTGCCTCCCCAGTCGAGCGGATTGCCCCCCCCAGTGGCCAACATTTGCCCCCCCAGTCAACACGTGAACTTCTCACAAAATTACCTTATCGGCAACACGTTTTGCTAGGAGTCTTACATGGATTTAACGAGAAACATTAAATGATTTGTTCAATAACTGTTCATGGCTACGGGAAAAGCCAGAGTTTTGTGATTTTCAGAGCTGAGAGCGCCAATTAGCAAATTGTCAATTAGCAGAGCTGGCCAGTGACCCAGCTCGTGTTTGCCCCCCCCCCCCACACACACTCAATCAAACGCCCAACACGGATAAGTATGTTTATCACTGTCTGGTGAGGGGGTAACACAATGTTAACCCGCGCCGGGCCAGTGCTCCGCGACTTCCGCGCCGGACCGGGGGTGTCTGAATCCCCCCTTCTAACTCCGCTCCTGGGCCACGTAGTGACACGCATTAAGCGGCATTCGAAAGAGCGTCAAAAATAATGACGGAAACACTTCAGTCATGTTTTTAGGAAGTTCAAAGTTGATATCGCCGACGCCAGAGGTAATCAAAGGTCAAATTTTGTCCATTTCAACAATTTTGGAAACTGCCAACAGCTAACTCTGGAACCGATAGAGTTAAAGCGCCGAGGAAAAACCCATTCGATAGCTCTTTTAACGCTCTTTCGCCGGTGTGTCCTCAGATTTGACCTCAGGTCAACGGTTTAGCCTCCAGAGGCCAAAATCTAAAAAATACCCGTTGTTATGAAAAACGTTTTTCTGCAATAACTTTTGAC